AAAAAGAGAGAGAGAGAGAGAGATAGCAAAGCTTTGACGTGATCCAGCCTTTCCCGTCCGCCATATTGCCTCCTGATGGCACCCACCCCCCCGGGGGTTGGCCTCACTAGAAACCACCAGCACTCCAAGTCCCATTTTCGATGTAACGTTTGTTATTTTATTGGAAAAAGCTGGTATTAACATATTTATAATTTTATTCAACAGTCGGATAATCCGAGATACCGAATGAAACCAGAATGCACCCATGAGTTACAGAATCCAAAGTGATCAGGTCTGTCTACCTACCACACGTCCAACACCAACCAAGACTTCAGTCCTCAGAGTATTCGAGTAAAAACAAAAACCACCCAACAACTTCACAAGGACTAGGTGAATGCCCATACATTTAAGAAGAGCAGAAAATTTAAACAGAGGAAGCAGCCGAGTTTGTGACTATGTTACTGGCCCGTCTGTCTGCCGCGGCTAGTCCTGCCCCTCCCCCACAACATGTGTCGTTGTTCATAACCTGCTTTGGACATCACGATTTTCCAGGGATCTGAAGGCATGCTTTTCCTCTAGGATCTTTCTTCCTTTTCCTTTTTTGGTTTGCTATCCAAAGCTTCACACAGAAGTAAGGAACCAGGAACTGTATTAAGACCTCCTTTTGAATGCAGTGTAAGAGTGGTACTGTGTAGACGGGTAAGTGTGAAATCTACGCTCTGACAGTAAGTCCTCGCTGCAGTTCGAGTCTCCCCTCAGCATCCGAATCACAAAGGGAAGGGGATTGTGCCAAATATCCGTGTAATTGTGTAAGGCCCTCAGAGCTGGATTTTGGCTTCGACAAGATTTCTATACAATTTACCACATTCTTGAACCTCTTTACAAAGGGGGGAAAAGAGGAATCCAATCCAGTGATTGTTAATTTCAATTAGAATAGATATGTACATATAATACTGTCCAGGTCACCTGGATTTTACAGTGATATACAAACAAACATTCTTCATTCATGTTGATTTAAAAAAA